CACTTTAGATGTTAAACAAATTAAAACACTGCAAAACATTTCATGAGCTATCTCATGAAAAGCAGCCTCACACAGCGTCCCAGGTAGCTCCAACATACAGACAGGAAGTGAAGACTGCACTAGTCTATCTGAACCACCATCTGAATCTGGACTCCAGAGACAGTAGGAGGGCTTTCAGACACCGCCTGGCGCTACTGGGAGGCTTCAGAATTGTGAGTGGCAGGATTGACACTTTCACAAATGCTGCCTGCTTCTATATACCTCTGTCATTGAAGAACCTCACCTTCAAAAGAATCCAAGCATCAAGAACAAGTGTGCCAAGCAACGGTTCATGAGGGAGCTCCTGTGAAACATCAAGGAGCGTGCTCATGAGAAGGGAATTACAGATGAATACCGTCTGGCCGGAAGCCAGTTCAACAAACGCTTAAAACATACCAAGTCCCCAGCACAGGACCAGAAGTCAGGCTGCCATCAGTGACTCAAGCTGAAAATAGTCCTTCAAATAAACCACTCCCCGACACTTGCCAATGACATTTAATAACTTCAACATTGCCATCAGCGTCCCTCTTGCCTCACCTTGATTTGTTGCCAAGTCATCGTTGACTTCTACCTCGAGTCTCCCTGACCATATGCTGCCTCCCCTATGGGAACTTGGCAAAAATAAAACTTCTGTGACCGTCCATTTACCTGAACTCTTCTGTGTTATTCAGTGGTTTTAAATAGATTCCCAGAAAACAAAGTAAACTACTCAACATATCAAAATAAATACATTTTCTGGAGCCATTTGTTGGGTTTGGTTTTTCTCTATGCGCAATGTTAATCAATTGTTCAATTTTATTTATTTATTACATGGTGGACTGCATTTCTATGATTTATTTTTAAAAGCTTGTGAAGCTGGATTAATTGTTGTATGTTATTAATATTCAATTTCAAGTTGTTAATTATTTTTCCAAGTTTAATTACATTTGTATTTAAACTGCCAATCTAGGCTAATACAACAGCTCACTGCAAAGCCCAACACTCCAAACAATCGCCAATAACAGAAATCATTCCAAATTCATGAGACTGTTGACAAGGTTCAGGCGAGTTTATTTGGTGCAGGGAATAATACTGTTCACCAGATGTTTGGACTGAAAATAGCCCACATTGATGATTACATAAGATCCAGAAAGGCTAGTGTAATAGAAGTTATGATTATCAAAGAAGGACAATTATTTGACTATCATTGCAATCATTTCCAGCACACTAGTTTGAGTAGAAGATCGATGAGTTTAAAGCTTTCCAGGTGCAAAACACTGCACATGTTATAGTACTACGATATAAGGAACAACCCTTGAAAAGTTTTTACAGAAGAAAGTAATCCTCTAAGAATGTGTAACTGCCTTTATTCGATTAGCAAATGTAGCATTTAACCAGAAGACATTGCATTGTGTAATTAGAAAGGTTGAGCAAGGATAGCGTTGGAGGACCCTGCATTTTGGGGGCTAGGCCCTCTGTATTGGTACCCCAACTGTACCAATGCAGAGTGTTTATACATTTTATTAGGGGGCTGCCTTTTATCACACAGTGCTGTTTTCTGTCTGACAAACTATATGTGTACTCTAAAAATCAACGAAATATATGGTGTCTCCTTCTACTGCAAATCTGCATTTTATTTATAATATACCAGCATAAAACAACAAAAAGACACAAAGCTGTCTTCATTTTAGTCATAGTCTGACATATTGTAAGAGATATTTTTACACTTCAGGTCCATTTTCTACAAATGTAAATATCTAATTTCAATTTTTTTTCAAAAACGTGGGTGACCTGCACTCAATACTGTTGCTTGAATGCAGTGTAGACTCAGACAAAGCACTGCTGCTTTTCAGACACCGTGTCTACACAGCAGCCTTATTAACACAAATTCAGGCTAATAATCATTTAAACCTTTGGCAATATCTTACTTTTCAAATGATATACTCACTGCTTGACTCTCACTACAGTCTCCTTTATGGCTGATGAGTCAATGAGGGATACATTCAGCACAGTTAACACTCTGTATCTTAAAATCTTGACACTCCACTTTCTACAACATCTTGCCAGCCTTAAATAATTCTAACTAAACTTGACCCATTTAGGCTTTCACTTTCCCTTAAAGATGAAAACATTTCATGCATCTGGGACTCTGCTTGTCAGACAGCCTCTCTATGAACACATCTCAGTACAACTCAAAATGCACACCACAGCTTACAGCACCAAAGTAAAACTGATGCTTTAAAAACATACAAATCTATTGGAATAAATGTAATAAATGAAATAGAAAGAGCAAGCACATTTCCATTTAACAATAATGTTCCATGTCACTCTGAAAAAGCAAGAGCCAAGTTATCAATTGCAGATTGCAATCCATCAAACTACCTTTGTTTGCAGACAAGACTAGCTTCATTACCACCATTTCCCTGTACGGTAAGAACACAACCTGCCTCACATCAAACTGTGCGACAAACAAAACTAATCTCCAGTAAAGTATGCGTGGTTGTCTCTTCTATTCTAACCATTCAGACTACGTCCAATATCTCGCTGCAACACATAATCCTGCATGTGCCATGTGTGTCAGCATATAGTTCACCATTTAAGCAGGGTTTTGTGATACAAGAGAAATATCACATGTGTATAAATATACATTTATGTACAAGATATAGTATTATATGATGGCCTTTTAGGATAAAATAATTGTAATATGACATCTTATTAAAGACTTTCTTTTCAGTAAAAGAAAAACATTTTTATACAATGTTCCGGGAAATTGTACCATTTTTAGAGATGGTACAATTTTAGAGATTTTGGCCATTTAATCATTCGAAATAATGTGTGAAGTGCACATATACTGTAACAAAATGCCATTCAAGAGAAAGGAGCCAAGTCTAAGCTCAGCTTTTTTGGAGCAGGTTATCTTGTGACCATCTGCTTCGTTTTATGTTCATTGGTACCTTCAAATCTGGGAGTATCTCTTCTACATGACATGAGGCAGTGAACACATTAATTCAATAATGCCATCAGTGATATTACATATTTAACAATGAACAAACTCGATACACTTTGTTCTTCCTAGTATTACGGTAGACCTTTACCACCATTTTGTTGGTTTGACATGCCATCCAACAGCAAGAGATCATACTGACTCTCAATGGAGGGGGTAGGTGCTAAAACAGCTGACATGCAGATCACTAGCAGGTGTATAAAGATGGCACCTTATTTGACCACCACTACTTTAAGGAAGAGTTCAACATTTGCTTGATGAAAGTTGGAGGATGAACTTAATATTGAAAGCCAATCTCATGTCTGTTTCAGGCAGCAGCTGAATAACTTAGCACATGTGAACACGAGGAAACATGTAGCATGGCTCTGTCCCAAAGTAACAATTTTAAATATGTGATAAGTCACCTTCTGGCGCTCTGCTTGTTAACTGTATTGTCATGGTGACATCATGAATCCAGGAAGTCACATCAGCCGGCCAATAAATAACTTTTTCCTGCCTTTATGCTATGCTAAGCTAAATGTATCGGCTGCTTGTTAACCTAATCGGCTGCGGTAATAATAATCTAAAACGGAATGAGCTTATTTCCCAGAGCTTCTAAAAACAAGCTCAAGGATACAATGCCACCTCAGTTAATAGTTGCTGTTATTGTTTATTTTGTTGCAGAAAATACTGTATAACTATTATAATTGATGACATTAAACTGCACTGTATATTGTCAAGAAGCCTTTAATTATGATGACAGGTTGAGAGGTTGATGAAAAATAAGTCATAGTTGGTGTGAACATGCACTTCAGGGGTTCTGTGTAGCATCAGACTTGGTCCAGACACTATATGTGACACAGAAGAAATAGCTCTATGTGTCATAACTGGTAGATATGTGACTCTAGTGCAGCCTGTAAACCTTTTTAAACGTAAATCAACGCCAGTGCACTGATTCCGAACAACACCTTTGAGTCGATATTATTAAGCCACATCTTTGCCTTCATAAAATGGAGACTTTCTCCTTTAAACAATCACACCCATGAGAGATTCACCGTTCCTAAATCAAATGCATTATAAGAGGAGGTTCTCAAATGTGTACTCGGCTTGGACCTGGCTGTTATCACAAGAGGAGCCAGACCTGTGAGCAGACCAGTTTTGACTGGGTATATGGGGTCATTGGGATCAGTTACCAGGCGACAGCTTGGCACATGTCTCCCTCATCTGGACACGAGTGGAAGAACAAGGTTAAGTAAGTACATGGGTCAATACAGAGTGCTCAGGAAAAATATGAACAAAAGGGATATTGTGCAGTTTGTTGCTATGACTAGTTTACGAGCCACTTAGATCAGCGCTAGGCGAGCCTTGCAGCATGTGTGCTCAGTGCATCACACACAGCACTGTGGCCATATCTATGTGTAGTGTGGAATCCAGCATGTGAATCCCATGCATGAAGCAATGGGCTCTATCAATTCAGGAGTGCATTTGATCTGACACGTAATGCATTATTTAGTTACTTTTCCATCTTGAAGGCTGATACGGTCACACCCCTCTCTAGAGAACTCAAATGGGACTGCTTGCTATGATACAATGCACACAATTCCGGACGTTAATTCCAATTTGCTCGTTGCGCTCTCATACAAATGAGCCTATTGGATATCACAATACACACAGCCATATCAATCAACCCATCTTTGTCATGGTCAATCATTATGGAGCATTTGTAGCCTGCATGTGAATGATCCCCCCTTACATATCATGCATATGAGCCGGGCCATTTCAAGACAATTGTTATTTCCTATTATACGATTTAAACAGGGCTGAACTTTCACGTGACATATGAGATAAGCAGCCATTTGTTAGGATGAATTAGCCCCACACTTCATATCACCTAACGTGCACAAAAAATATCATGCGATTGCAAAAAAGCAGCACCAAGCGCACACGGAGACAGCAGAAATCATGTGTGCGGCACAACATATATTGCACTTCAACTCACCTTGAGCGGCCGTTCCTCTGGTGCTGAATACACTTGCTATCAGAGTGGCCACATACCAAATCATAGTACTATTGCCGACCAGCTATTACCACGCAAAGTGCCCCGCTCAACCAATCTCTCATATTCGACCTTGCACTTCACGGTCTCTTAGCAAAAGCCCCTTTATCATATCCTATTTTCTTTCCTCGTGGCGTTTCCCTTCATCCCTTCCCTCCCCCGTCCTTCCATCCGCATCCTCTCCCGAAGAGACAGAGCACCTGCACCGCCGCGTTTGTAGTAGACGGAGCCGTTTTACGAGCGCATAGTGAAACCAAGTGTGAGAATGCCTCCACAGGTCCGCCTCTTCTGTCATTGGATTGGCTGCTGATTGAGGCTTTGGGGCGTGTATTGGTTCTCCGTACGCCCCGCACCCGAATGACAGGAGAGCGGCCGTGCGCCGATTCAAGGTGAGTTGGAGCGTGCCATAGTAGTGGAACCGCAGTATCATGCGCATTGACAGAGAGACGTGTCCACATCTTTAAATACCTCTCCTTAACTGGCCCCCACGTGCACCATCATCAATTCATTAAAACAGCCTTTTGTGCATTATTCGTAACATCAATATTCGCACCAGACAGTTATATGGCGAAGGTTTACTGTGTTTTCGATGAAAACGCTGCTGAATATGTGTAACTCATCTGCCGCTCAGCCCATAGCCCTCGGCTGTTGTCATGTCGCTGTCACCGACATAAATGCTCTCTTTCCTCTCTACCGTGCCGTGTCTGGCTTTATATGATGGGTGTGGCGACAGATACAATACCGTGTTGTTTTTTCCTCGATGGCCGCGAGCGCGAGGATGCAGCTCCATCACGCTGCCCACTGCGCACACATGCTTAACACTGATAAGGCTGCCTCACTTTCACTCCCTCTGTTTTCTACATGCATGACCATAGAGGGATATGACGCCTCAGGCTGCTCGATATCAGCTCGGATCTCACTTAAATAATGCTCAATCCAGCTGCTGTGAAGTAACTGGAGGATAAACATGTGGGGGGGATCTATGGTGGGAGAGAAACTCGGTGGAGACTAGTCTTGCAAATCGTGGACTTTCAGCTGAATTTGTCACCGTTTTGTCTCGGCATCTCCCTCTGTCTGTCTCCCCCTCCCTTCCCTTTTGTTGGAGACTGGCATATTCCAGTCTGAAATCAAAGAAAATCTGAAAAAGGTGACTTAAAATCAAACACATTCTCCATTTTGTCTGAAGATCTTTGTAGCCATGCAAAACAATCCTGCCGACTCGTAATAGTAACATATTTGAAAATGTGAAACACTATTTTATAACTAGTTTTCAATTTGATTACATATCTCTACTAGCACAAACAAAAACTATACAGTATCAATATTAACATTAACAATAGCACATTTGCTTGTAATCTCATATCCATCACATCAGGCCCATGTTAAATAAAGATGCAGTGATACGAATAAATAGCATTGAGTGTCCGGATTTGGGCCACCATGAGTACAGCATGTACTCTCCATCCCTTTGAAACTCTGCTGGAGGTATTAACGCTGTTCCTCTGATATTTGCCCATGGTCTTGTGATGGTGACTGTGTAGGCTGTATCATGTTATTCACAACATTCTCCTACTCCTTAAACCACCCACTGACCACCGCTTGTGCGCCGTATAGAAGCATTTGCAATTGTGCAGCCTTTTCTTTAATTTGTGTAACAATTTCTCTAAAATATTGTTCCAAAGGTCAGAACCCCCAAAGGAGACACATTTGGATCAATCTGAGGGTTCAACAGATGACTAAGGCTTAGAAATAAGAAAAATAGCTAAAGTCACATTTGTGTTTTTTTATGACAATCATTTTGAAAACCTGGATATTTTATGCCTCTAAAAATGGTTAAAATGAATGACTCTGAGAAGGTAACATTACTCAGTGGTTGAATGTCAACGTGTAATGGAGACACATTTAACATTGATTCTCTTCAAAGGTTTCAAGTCTAATGTTGGGAAGGCCTACTCTAACTACAGCTTTTTACAGAGGGGGTGATGATCAGATTTGGAGCCTAGCATCTTAGTGATGCTCTCAGCTCCTCCCTCACAGCTGGCCAAACACATACTGTACTGCACATGTTACAGTGTAAGAAGGTATACTGTACATGGGTGCTCTAGTGTTGAAAGCTGAAGAAACCTCTGTAACATTTACATGACTGCTGCTGGAAGGGAAGCTATACTCAGCAGAAGATTTGATGGCATCCACAACTGAAGCTATGAGTCATAAATTATAGATCCCAATTATCAAAAGCTCTGTGTCAGGGAGCTTTCTCCAGTTCTGAGGTGAGAAATGAAGGGTTTCACATTTAAAGCTCCACAGTGGGCAGCACGGAGGAATTGTTACCGCCAATGACCAAGCCATTTTGAAGGCGCAGCGTCCGTCAGATTCTCACAATTACTGTCAGGGGAGGTGTGCAGGACTGTGATGTGACTGCTGCATGGCAAAACAAGGTCACATTACTTCCACAGCCCCCTCCAACCCTCACCTTAATGTACAGAAGTGCTGAGACAACATGTCGGCCTATACCTTCTTCAGCCTGAGCCTTGATAAGCCTGTTTCCACAGCGACACACACACGACATAATGGCATTTGCTTCATATAGGCAGCAGCAGAGATTGTTTCTCTGTTTTTCTCCATAATAAAATTACCTACAAGCCAGAGCAGAGGAAAGATAAGAGCTGTAAGATAATCTCTTATGCAACAAATCTATTAGTTAGCTGGCTGTGTTACCAAAGGGCAGCAAGGGAACAAGAATGTTTTCGAAATTTTGAATACAGCAGGGACTGTTTTTTTCTGCACCGAAAAAACAGGATTATGTTCTACAGAAAACGGTCATATCCCTTGTTATATGCATGATGCATTAGATTCCTCTTTCATTGAGTTCCTCATGTGGATCTGTATTCATGTTGGCAGCCTCTCAATTATCAGAATGTTTCAATTACGTTTTTCAGGGTTGCACTGTAAAAAAAGGATTGAAAACTAAAGACATAATGGGTTAACTTGTTCAGCAATAGCCCTCTTTTGAGCAGCAATGAATAAAGAGAACATAATATTATTTTCTGACAGATGCTGGAACAAGGCAAGATCAGAGTCTCTCCATCTGTAGTTTGTCAGGTGTCCTGCCAACAATAAAGGAATGAAAAATGTATATTTGTCCTCAAGAACAGAATATTCTGTTTATTTTTAGGGTCACTGTCCGGTGGGATTTTCTCAGCCTGTCACCACTGTGAGCAGGCAACTCTTCTTTTGTACGAAAATGTCGGTTTTGTCCACTAAATTGTTTTTTTAAGAGATAATGGTATCACTCATCCAAAATATACAATTATGACATTCCTAATCCTTAAGGTCCAAGTGAAAACAAAGTAAATGCTCGCACTGCTCCTTTATTCTCATACTCTGTATCTGTCCAATGGTGTGACTAAGCATGGACCCAAAAGCTTCCACAGATGCTTCAGTGACAGAGACATATGGATGTGTACACTGAGGGCCCAGCAGCCTGCAGATGACTAAACTGCCCAACAGATGTTTGGCTGCATGTCTGTTTATGGTGTTTTCAAGCTCTCCATGTCCTGAGAGTCACATGCTGCTTTCAAGTATAGTTCATGCTTTTAACCAGTAGTGGTCAGTAGTGTCTTGCACAAGAGACCAGCTTCATTTTTGTGTGTATTTATGTTTGTTAAAATGTATTTCAGGACAACCTAGAGTAATGTAACATCCCTTTTCATATTTTAAAACCTCAATCAACAAGACTTGAACAAGTACTAATCCTTATTTATCATTAAAAGATGTCAAACATTTGTTTTAGGAATAATACATTCACTGTGCACATAAGGCTTTAATTGCAATCAGATTTCTGGACATAACAAAATACATCGTTGCGTAGCGTAGGTGTTATCCCTGAACGAATACATTTAATTTGGGCACCAGACAGAGGAATATTTAATATAGCCAGCTGTCAAAAAATGATATGCTTAAACGCGCAGAAACAGAGGGATAGCCCGGTGACCTAGCTACTGAAGTTTACAAAGGAAAAATAATAATCAACCAATTCACTTTCAACATAAAATGTCTTTATTTTTTTACCCCAAATAATAATCAGTACATTAAACAAACAACTCATGTACAAGAAAAACTTAAATCCAGTAGATACAAAAACACAAACAAATAAGTCACATTAACTCACAAAACATCAATCACTTATGTGAATCCGAGAGCCTATGATTGTTTAAATCATGGCGATTGACTGTGTGCGAGGGAAGAAGTCTTTTTTTGTCCTTTGTCACTCAGGTTAAGAGTGTAGTTCAGGGGATAGGGATGTGTGAAAGTAAAGTTGTAAAGTTCTGTTTTTCCAGTCCAGAGTGTGGTGTGTGGGTGTAGACTAGAGTGAGGGTGACAGGCCAGAGTATATCACCAGATTGCAGGTTTTAACTGGGATGGGGAAAGTTAAATGTTTCCCCAACAGCTCCTGGGTTCAGTGGCAAAACTCCCACAAATAGCCTGATTTCTCTGATGAAGTCCATAAGAAACCACTTTCTTCCTTGTTAGATCCGACTTCCTCTTGGTTCTTTCTCTTCTCTTTTTGAATGACATGCTGTCCTCCTTTTAACAGCCAATCATTTCCTTGATTGGTTTCCTCCAGCTTCTCTCAGGGGTGGCTTGATTAGCCACTCCCCTTTTGCTCAGGGAATCTGTAGGAGTGTTTACTTTTCCCCCTGTCCTGCTACAGTTGGGTTATTCATATCGGAGTAGATCGGTGGCTCAGGGTGTATTTAGTTTTTACTTTCATTAATGGTTAGAAAGGAAATTAATATTTTTCCAAACAAAAAGGATTTTCATTTTGTGGTTCCAATTTCTCAAATAAAAAGATAAAATGCTTGCTGTTTTGTCATTTACTGTGTGAAAACAAACTTAATATTGTCAAGATTTAGATTTTTCTTTTTGGCTATATGACATTTTAAAACCTTTTGGTACATTTTATGACATATAATAATGAATAATTGATAATAGTTAACCGTAGCTCATTATGCAAGCTAAAAACAGCTAAGATAGTAAATACTTCTTTGATGTGGGAATTGTAAACTGCCTGTATTGTGAGAATCCAGTATGCTGTCTGCTGAAACTTATAATTAATAGATAACAGTATCCAATTTGGCTGATTTTAAATAGACTTGAGATAGGAACTTACAACTGAGGGCAGTATAAAAGACCGGT